GGCTGGCTTGTAGACCATATCGTATGCACTTTTAATGTCTAGGAATATAGCTGTAGTGTGTTGTTTCTTTTTGTAACCTAGTCGAATATCGCTTTCAAGTCGAATTAAATGATCTATTGTACTATGATTGTTTCGGAAGCCACATTGAAATCTTGAAAGCATGTCCTGCTGCTCGAGAATGAACGAGAGACGCTTAGAAACAATGCGCTCCAAAAGTTTTCCTAAGCAACTTGTCATGGCTATAGGTCGGTAGCTGGTAGGATTGTGTGTCGTTTTCCCTGGTTTTAATAACGCTGCTACTGTATTTGTCTTCCATTCTTCAGGAAATAAATGATTGGCAAAAAGTGAATTGAACGTTTTGAGAACCAAAAGTCTCGAACGCTCTGAAAGATTGCGAAAGAAGGCGTAATGTAATTTGTCCGGGCCGACTGAGGTGTTCCCGGAGGTACTTATGGCATTGTTGAGTTCTTGGAGAGTGAAAGGAGCATTATAACTTTCGTCATTGTTAGAGTGAAAAGATGCATGATCAACCTGAAAACGTCGACGTGCTGCAGCCACAAAATCTGGAGAGTATCTTGCGTCGGAGCTAGTGTGTGAAATTTGTGATGCTAATGAGTTGACAACTTCCTTTGGTTCACTAACTACACGACCCGTTGGAAGACGGAGAACTGGGAAAGTTGCACTTGTCTGCTTCCCAGTCATTCTACGGATCAAGTCCCATATCTTACTGAGTGGTGTACTACAAGTAAATGAAGAGAGAAAATGTTGCCATGACTCACGCTTAGCGATCTTGATAATACGCTTGGCGTTTGCGCGCGCCTGATTTCGTGAGATTAAGGCCTGATCCGTTCGGAGTCTTAAATATGTACGAAAGGCTCGCTTTCGCTTAGCGATGGCCTGCTGCACAACCGGTGACCACCATGGTACTGCTTTGCCTTTTTTACAAGCTTTTGTCATTGGAATGCTCTGTTTGGCTGCTGAAATAATTGTTTCTGTAATGTGAGATATTCCGTCTTCTGGATTTGCAGAACGATCCTGCATTTGAGCCTCACAAAGTTGGGTGAACTTCACCCAGTCGGCTTTGTTAAGGTTCCAACGAGGAACAAATGATTGTATTCCGGTAACTGAAAAACTAAATTTAAGAGAAATCGGGTAATGATCACTGTCATGGATGTCACTATCAACGCTCCAAAGAAACCAAGGGGCGAGACACGGAGAACAGAGTGATAAGTCAATGGCTGACTCTGTGTTGTGAGATAAATTGAAATGTGTCGGCTGGTTAAGATTAAGGGTAACTAGCCTATGGACGTCAATAAAGTCTTCGATTATTTTGCCTCTACCGTCTAACAACTGTTCATCCCACCAAGCTGGGCTGTGGGCATTAAAATCACCCAGAAGAAGAAATGGATGTCGGAATTGCTGAACGAGATGGTTGAGCTGTCGAAGAAGTTCGGAATTATCGAAATCCGGAGGAATATAAATACTACATACATCTATGTCTCTACCGTTGATATACATGGTACATGCAACGGCTTGTAGATCTGTGTGTATATCGAGTTCGCTATGTGTGTAATCATTCTGTACGTATAGCGCCACACCACCGTGGCGGCGCTGTCCGTAAAGCTCGTCGTGTCTATATAAAGTGTAGTTTGATAAATTGAAATTGTACTGATCAGTTGGTAAAAACCAAGTTTCCTGGAGAGCAATGAGTACAGGTGTTAATACAGAGAAAAAGTTTTTTAGTTCGGCCCACTTAGAAAGCAGGCCTCGACAGTTCCATTGTAGCATGGTGTGCGTATTCATGGTTGTCGACGAGAGAAGTTTCCACGGCTGGGCGAGGCCCAGCTCGACGCGCGGTTCCTACCCATCGAGACGCGAATTGGTGGACGTGGTTGGCGATCCCCTGTGCGAGGAGAGGAGGCTTGGGGATGGGCACCGCTGCGCCCCTGTACTCTGGTCCAATCAGTAGTACGGCTTGTTCCTGGGGTCGGTTTCGTTTTCTGGGCGATCTCAGGAGAGAAAGCTGGCTGAGAGTCAGGCGAGGGCACTGGCTCATCGATCTCGATAGCCTCAGTGGTTTGGGTCGTGCTTGTGGATGCGGCCGGTTTGGGAGCGAGGGGCTTGAGAAGCTCCAGGGGAGGGAGCGCGGCGATCAGCTCGGTCTGAGTGCTGCATGAGACAGTTTGGGTGCTGGCGGCTTTTGCATAGGATTTGCCCGGAGTCGGAGTGGCGTTCTCTGCTTCTACCCGGCGTCGTGCGTCGGGATAGGAACAGGCGGTTTTGGCTTTCACTTCACAGATGCGTTTTTCCTTCTGCCAGACAGGGCACTGTGAGGACGAGACAGAGTGATCTGTGCTGTCACAGCTCAGACATTTGACTGTAGTGGAGCATGCTGAGCCCTCGTGTGGAGCTTCTCCACACTTCTGGCATCTGGCGGACTGGCGGCAAGTAGAACTACCGTGACCGAAACGCTGACACTTAAAGCAGCGGAGGGGGTTGGGAATGAACACTCGTACGTCCTTCCTAACCCAGCCGATCATGATCTTCTCAGGCAGAGTCGTCGTGTCAAAGGTGAGAACTAGCAGACTAGTGTCTCGCCGTTGCCCATCGCGGAAGGTGGTCAGGCGGCGGATGTGTGTTACACCATCACCCCTCAGCTCAGACAGAATCTCATCCTCAGACATATGACGGAGTTCCGGAGCAAAAATCGTGCCCTTGGAAGAGTTTCGGCTTTGGTGGAGCGAGACTGTCACCTTCTTGCCGCAGAAAGTCGTGGTCTTCAGAAGCGGTTTGGTTTCTTTTCGGGAGTTTGTTTTTACGATCAGAGTGCCGTTTGCCGGAGCCTCGATAGCCAGATCCATGGAACCAGTGATAGCAGCGATCTGCTTCCTAGGCCAAAAAACGTTCATCTTCCGGAAAGAAACGTCGTCGTCGCAGGGCTTAATAACCAGAAAAGAACCGTGGAGAGGCAAGTAAGGCTCGAGCGGAGCGCGATCAACCGAATCACAGGCAGGTGCGTTGTCTAAGTTCGTGCGCGGGTCAGAGCTCCGGGAGTGGTCGGTGGACGGGCGAGGGTCATGGCTCCGGGCGAGGTCGGTAGACGAGCGAGGGTCAGAGTGCCGGGCGGGGTCAGAGGTCGAGCGAAGGTCAGAGACGTGGTCAGTGGACGAGCGAGGGTCGGTACCGGGTAGATCAGTCGAGGGGCGGGCAGAGGAGGGAGGGGTGACGATTGGGTGGGAGTCGGTATCCATGGAGGCGGGAGCGAGGTCAGGAGCAGGAGTAGAGGTTGGAGGGGAGTCAGAATCGGAATCGGTAAAGGAGTCAGAAAGCGGGCGCTGACGGCGCCGCTTCCCCATGATGGGGCAAACGGAATGCGGGTGTGAGCAGTGAGGGTTCAAGGAGTGGGACAGTAGGGAAAAACTGGATCAAAGTGGGTGGGAAGGTGGGTGTAGGAAGAGCTCTCAAACAAACCCGTGAAATGCTAACTGCCGGAGCAAGTCAACGATCACCTTAGCCTGTGATATTTCGCCACAAAATCGAGACATATATAATTTTACATACGAACTTAGTTATCTAGTATTGCACACATGTTGGCGAGAACATCGAATGTAATAAACGAATACATACGGTTTTTAATATACACACAGCCAATGCAGTTGTCCAAACAATACAGCAGTTTAAGCGAACGGAACGTTAAAAGGGGGGCGCACAACTTAATCGAAGGCTTTAGCAATTTAGAGACTGGTAAAAGCGACACCTATTAACAAAACTGTAACTCGCGGTTCACAGCATCTAGCGGTGACCGGCGGAAGTAAACGCGCCTAGCGGTGACCGGCGGTACATGCAGGGGCTACAATACGTTTGGTGATGACGGTAAGTTGTAAGTAAGTCATATGAAAACCTTCAACCATAAAAGTTGTTTTCGGTTTGGGACATGTCCACCGTCCAGGTTAATGCAAGAAACGCAATCAACGCACAACCAAACATCGCAGAAGCAAAGCACTTGACATGTAGTAGACACGAACAAAAGTGGCAAGCTACGGTCCTGGCAGGCGACATCATGACCCAGAACAAGTGATGAGCAAGTGACACATGAACAAGTATCCAAGTGTGTCGATTGAGCAACATGGCAAGTGGTGTCAGATTATGAGAAACGATTGCAAAAATGCTATGCAATGGAAGAAAAAATAGCGAAGCACGGAAAGGTAAGACGAAATGGATGAAGTACGGAAAAGAACTAGCCCTCATGAGGCTTCACGTATCGATGAACCATGAAGATGAATGCGAAAACAGAGGAACGAACCGCGATATCTCCATCGATGTGTGCACGGTGTAATTGGGTAGCAGGTTCGTCTTGTCATACTGTAACGATTCACGTTGGTACACGTAACAACACCGACCCTGATAGTAGTAACGCCCGGGATTAGACCCGAGCCGCGTGGAGTGGATGTAATATTCCGTTGGCGTTGGCGTCTCTAATACATTCACTTTATTCATCATGAGCCTCAAAAGGGCGATTGCTCATATCATGTACCGATAAGACAAAGCTGGCGATACTTATCGGCTTCACGCCCTTCATCGTCTACCAATTATGAAGAAACGACGGCAGTTGGCCGTCTGTGCCGGTCCACATTATAATACAAATGGCCTTTTTTGTCGTATCGGACACGGCTCAATCAGCCGGTAGCGGCGGACAGGTAACGTCTGCATTAGTGCCGGTCTGTCGGCCGGGCAGCCACTGCACGCCGGGCTGCTCTCCGACCGGCGGCGGCGACAAAAAGTGGGCGGCGCCGCGCGCTCGGTGTCGCCTTTCGCGCCGCTGATTGGCGTATTGGATTACGGCGGCGGCGCCGATTGGGCGCCGGTAGCCGGCCTGGGTGTCGGTCCGGCGTCAGAGCCCGCAGTAATCGGGCAGGGGAGGGGCGCGCCAGCTGCCGGACGACGCAGCGCCACCGCCGCCCCGACAGACACACATTCCTTAGTTTATGCGAAGAGAATTGTGAAGTTTAAAAGGAATGTATTCGTCTTGGAAGCAAACACGTCAGTGACGAGAACGCTGTAAGTGCAAAGAAACTCATACGCCACTGACCTGCATCAATCAATTGATATTTTCGCCAGGACGGAGAAAAAAAAACTACAACTTCTAGCTAAAAATAGCATCAACGAGTGCAACAAGAAGGCTTGAAATTCGCACGAATCTTCCAAATGCATTCACAAGCGAGGCGCACACACACCAAAAAACCTTCGAAAGCAGCAAAAGCGAACAAAACCCAAATACAAAACTTCTCCCATATCCACATGTCCGCGTTCCATCTCTCCCTTCCCTCATCCTCAGCAAATGAGCACAGCCGCCCGGCGGAGTGTTGGTGTCCCGGCCGGCTCAGTGCGGCGGCTGGCGGCCGGCCGGCGGCGGCAGGCGGGCGGCTCAGTGCGGCGGCAGGCGGCCGGCTCAGTGCAGCGGCAGGCGGGCGGCTCAGTGCGGCAGGCGGCCGGCCGGCGGCGGCTCGTCGGCCCGCCGCTGGGACGGCGCCGTGCCGGTGGACGCCGCGCTCCGGTGACCCCAGCTGGTCGACGGTGCTGGTGAAGTCGCCGCCGCACCCTGCGTCTGCCGCTGGTCGGCGGCGCCCGCCGACATGGTGTCCAACTGAACGACAGGAAGAGGAATCAGACGCCAAATTGTCATAAATCGAAGCACACTGAGGAAATTGAGAAGGGAGCTTAGGTAAACTTCACAACTATTCAAAACACAAAATGATTAGGAAAATAAGAATGAAGATAGGCGATACGACAGTCGAAACAATCAATTCAAACGCACAACCTTCAAAATACAGTTCATTTGTTGCTACACACAAGTGTAAGTCGTATAGTTCGTTTTTTCTAAGTTCGACCCTCACTGTAAACATCTTTTTGGAAACAGCACGAGAATTGCTAGCTGAATTACTGAGAAAACTGGTTAGCGCACTTTGTGTTGTGGTGTTGGAGATATGACTTAATATTTTCAAAATAAGTTTGTAACACCGATGATATACTGTTACGTTAAACGCCGTGCGATTTATTAATTAGTTTACTTATACTTCCTGACAAGTCCTCGATCCTTGTGGGGGCTGCAAAAACCGAGCTGCGAGTCTGGGAAAAAGAAGCCAGGTAGAAATAATTTTGATACAATTGCTCGCCTGCGAAATCATTGTGCGCCAACAAGTTTTCTCAGTAATTCAGCTACCAATTCTCGTGCTGTGTTCAAAGAGATGTTTACAGTGAGGGTCGAACTTAAAAAAAAAAACGAACTATAACACTGTTTAATATTGCAACAGTTCGGCAAAGAACATATACCGTGGGATAAAACCACGGACGTATAAATAAACGTTTAATTATACGTCCGTGGATAAAACCCGCAGCACCCACAGTCTGGCAGCGAGGTGGTAGTTTTGATCTTTGACTCTACCTATTCCAAGGGAAGTTGCAGTCGAAACATCAAGACATGTTTTAGAATACATTGTATATTGTCTATTGACAAAAGTAAGAGTGTGAGTAAATAACATACAACATTCGTGTACTCCTCTAGACCGTTATCTCTCTGTCTTCCAGGCCGTCTACGAGATTGCCCGTTACTGACACGTCCTCGGTGAGTCAAGCATTGCTAACTTTAATAAACAACGAAAAGCTCATGTATTCCAACAATGCGGGCGCAGCTTACCAGTTTCATAACTTCGTCGGCCTCATCTGCTGGGAAGTCAAACAGGCCGGAGCCGGCCTGGGCCTGGTAGCGCAGCCGCCGAATGTAGCGCGTCACCGGATTGAAGTCGAAGTTAAGGCGCACGCCCAGCTCTGCCAGTGGAATGCCGACAGGAGGTAACACCAGCATCAAAAACGGACGCGAATAGAAATTCACTTGATCTCAGGATATTTGCGACGCAATTTCTCTTCGCCAAGCATATGTGTAGCACAAATCGAGGTTTATAGTACAATATAGGGCGTTAGTGCCAAAGACCAATTGTGTTGCATTCTTTCGTACATGCACCCAGTAACGTGAGCGCCATGCGTCGGGCGGTGTCCGCCAAGGCAGCGGCCCAGCGCCGCCGTCGAGCCCGTATGACCGAGGCGCAGCGGCAGGCTGAGGCCGAACGTAACGCGGCCCAACAGCGAGCCCGCCGGCAGAGGGAGGCTGTACGGGAGGCCGAGGCCGCTCGCCAGCGGGAGCGTGCGTACGACGACCGGGTCCGAGAGCTGAACGCCGAGAGACAGCGCGCGTTCCGAGCCGCACAGGAGGAGGGAGCTAGGCAGGCCGAGCGTGAGGCGAACGCGGCGCGCCTTCGCCAACAGCGCGAGGCGCAGGAGGAGGAAGAGAGACAGGCCAATCGTGAGGCAAACGCGGCGCGCCCCCGCCAGCATCACGAGGCATAAGATAAGGAGGCCAGACAGGCGGAGCTGGAGGCCACCGTGGTGCGCGTCCGTCAGCATCGTGAGGCGCATTAGGAGAAGGCCAGGCGGGTGGAGCTGGTCACTCTTAGAAAAATCAAAACGTCTGTATGTACGTACGTATGTATGTGTGTATGTATGTATGTATTGCATTGTATGCATGTGCGTAACGCGGCAGTTCCCTTTGTAGGGCTGTTGCGCGGTGACGGTGCGGGCTACGGGGGTGAAATTTTCGACACAAGTCGCACGCGTGCAACCATTTGTTCTATTTACTTTTCGACAAGGCCCTAAATACACTTTTCGCGGGGGTGCGTTCAGCGGTTTGCACGTGGCGGGTGCTTCTCTGCGGCGTTTCGGGCCGCTGCCGGCGCCGAGCAAAGGCACGTGCTCTAGGCTCAGATAACTTTTCAAACTGGTATATTTAATTTTCGTATTTTTTATTGACAGCATAGGTGTAAGTTACTGGCGTGTGATTGTAACGAGAGATGGAACATTTAGCATGACTCCTTCTTCTGACACCACGTTTCTTCAACACGGCGTTAGCGACCTTCTTGGAACCTCTGGACTTGCTGCGTCCACGGCTCAGATTGTTCGCTTTGAAAACTGAGCGAAATCAGAGTAGGGAGGTCATTGACCTTTGAACTTTGTGTATCAAAGCATCCAATAGCGCATGGCATCCAAACAACACAGCATCAAGACCGCAGCATCTAACGATCAAAGCATCCAAAAACCTGTACCAACATACTACGCAGCGCGTAATGCCGCCCCTCTAGTTTCTTTTGATGTTCAAAAGAGGCGATAGAATTGATTGAGCCAGGGATTATATATTCCTGGTCCAAGAGTGGACTGGGTATGTGTTAACCACATGCCGCTTAACTTAGGCCATGACCTCGGCAAAGGACTGGCTGTGTTTGGCTAATGGCTATAGCTAATAGCTATGACTTCCAGTGCACCCAATGATAGAGAAAACCGTGGTTTACACCTTATTTGGGACTGGATATAGACGATGAAGAAACAACAAGTGGCAAAATCCAAAACTTCATTTAAATGAGCCGGAGCGAGGAAACAAAACGCAAAACAACACAAACATTAGGCGGCTTAGGCCGTTTGCGCAATATTGTGAAAAGCAGACCGGCGTCAGTATTTTGAACATTTGAGCAAGGCAGATCTGAACACTTTCTTGTGTTCCTTTCTGATATAAGCGAAAAAGATCAACGGCCAAAGTTGTGAAACAACTACAATACACTGCATGTTTGCTATCATCGGAGTTGCTTCAAGGATCATGAACTTGGAAATTTGGAGAAAGATGTAGACCATCGAGGAGCCAGAGACATGTAAAGAAGGCGAAGTTAAAACTACTGAAGGCAGATGGAAAGGTCAACAGGCCAAATCGCTCCACAGCACTGACCAAGAAGGAAAATAACACCCTGCACGAGTCGGGTCAATTCGGACGTCACAGCCCAGCCGCTCTGCAGACAACAGTGTGGTGGCAAACAGCTCTCCTTTTCGGTCATCGTGGGAGAAACGAAAGTCGCCAGATGACATGGGCAGATGTGAAACTAAAGAAAGATGAGACCGGCCTGGAATACCTGGAGTCCTCAGAGCGCTGCACAAAGACAAGAGATGGTGACGCAGCTGGTGGAAGTAGCCTTCGCACCGAAGCCACTCGAGTGTCCTGAACATCCAAGCCGATGTCCAGTACGAACGTACAAGAAATTTGTCACACTAATCGGGTACAGAGCTCTTGACCGACCACAACTGAGAGTTGGCGGCAGAGTTTTTCGGCTCGTCCGTGAAAAGCCGGCGGTCGTAGGTGGTGGCGGCCCCCTGCTCCGGGAACAGCCGTCACCGAAACTTCTCAGCAGTCGCCGGAACAGCTCTGAACTTCCTCCGCTATTTCGTTGAGACTAGTTTGGTGTTAGGTTTTAGTATGCACTACATAGTACGTCCTTCAGGTTCTCTCCCATTTTACATGCCACGGGAGGATAAGGAAGGAAATTTTCACGGAGACTTCATGTAATAGGCGTCATTGTTCCGGAGAATAAAAACGATACATGGGATATTTTGAGTAAGTCACTGATACCAGCACACACTCTTTCGTGTCCTTCGCAGGTCGATCCATAAGTAGTTGATCTTTGCTGACTTTTTCTACTTTGTTCTAGTTCTTGGTCCATGAGTGCTAAATGATGCGAGCAATCAACTTGTGAGGAATATAAAATACTGACAGGATAAGCAAAGTTATCAAATTCGACCTGTGCAGTGACAGCACAGTGTCCACCCACAGCCAGCTTTACGTCGCCCTGTACTGCGTTGGCGACATCGATGCGGTGGAGGTGCTGACCACAGCAGCGTTTACGTGAAACAGGTCTACTGTAAGATACTGTAGGCAACTATCTGTAGGCAAAGATACTTGTAGGCAAAGAGTGAAACAGTTACGATCAGTCGAGCTTATCTGTGACACTGGACGAATGATCCACCACACAGTACAGCAGCACTAACACAACAGTTGGCCGGTGCCCCCGTGAATGCCTCTCATATGTCGCTAATATTTTCAGATACCATTATAATGGGATAGACAATGGGAACTATTTTGAGTTATATTCTTTTGTTCTACTATTTTTATAACTATTTATAAAATAGTTCCGTCCCATTATAATACTACTTGTCTCAGATCTTATCAATCAGTTTCCAGGTATATTTATAAGGGCCCCGATCGGCAGATGGTGCGCACCGACGCACTGATTGGCCTTGACGACGAGATCACCAACTATCAGGACTTGCAATCCATCGGCGCCAGCGAGGCTTGCTGGCGGCTCTGCGAAGAGCCCATCAGCCGGCAGCAGCCAATCGTGGTGACTCTGCAGGTGCACCTGCCCAACCAGCAGCTGGTGTACTTCGAGCCCGGCGGTGAGCAGCAGGCCATCGAGGCCGCCCGGCGCACCCAGCTCACCGTCTGGCTCGAGTACAACCGGGAGTCGGCCGTGGCGGACCAAGAGTATTATGTATTGTGCATGTAATGAGCAGACGTTATTTTCCTTTTTCAACAATATTCTCTTCGAAGTTTTATTCTCACCTAACGGAAGGCATGCAAATCATGCTTCTGTGTGACCTGCTTCCAACACATGGATATATGCCCGAGCCCTGCTTCGGGATTTGACGGATGTAGTTTTGAATTACACTGTCAATTATTAGAGGCACTTACATTACCCGGAATATTTGAAACTTAGCTATATGTAGTGAGACAAACTTGTTGTCATATTCTCCCTTGACAGCTTGTGAAATTTGTTTGTTCTTAATGCGATAGAAGACTGAAACACCAAAGACATGGTGTGAGTTTGATACCGATACACAGCCATACATATACACCTTTCCCCGGGTGGGGTGGGGGCTTGGCCAGCCCTGCCAGCTTCTTTGCGTGTGTTGAAAAAACTGCCGCGCGCAGCGTCGCGATACTTGTATTTGTAAATGGCACATTTGGCACTGAACAGGCCAATGGCGTTGCGTGCTGTCCTGTAATGTGCGCGCTTTAGCAACTCCCTAAGGAAAGTGCAAGGTCCACGTCTCCGGCCCACGGATGACGCGTTTCCCTTCCGCTGGGAGCGTCGCTAAGTCCCCGTGAAGCTAGCTTCCGCCATGACGGTGAACAAAGTCCAGGGGCAGACGCTCGGTCAGGTTGCCGTCTTTCCGGAGGAGCCAGTGTTCAGCCACGGCCAGCTGTATGTACTGTACGTGGCTGCATTGCGGGTCGGCCGGCCGGCAGGTGAAGATCGCGCTGCCCAGAGGACAGTGAGGTAATACGGGGACGACACCCAATGTGGTGTACACGGAGGTGATGGGCCAAGGTGATGGCCAGTAGATCGACGGACCGCAGTGGTGGCGTGTAGCCAAGGCGCTACGAGCAGCGTGGAGAGTAGGGAGGAGATGGTATGTACCTTTTTGTATATAGCGTTCTCCATTGTGATCGCTTTGTCGACGAACCGTGGATGTCGTTTTTCCAATGAACACCTCGCGGCGTTGCAGCGGCGGCTGTCCGAGCTGGACTGGCCGAGCACGCCTACCGGTGTTCGTGTCGTGCTGGCAAGCGACATTCACGCCCTTGCAGACAAGGTATTGCGCTTCAACAAGTTTTGCCTTTGGCTCGAGTCCGGCTTCACCATGGCCGATGCGCTGTGGAAAAGTTTCCGGCTGTCGCGCAGCAGTGGAGGTGCCGACACCACAGAGGCTGGCCAGGACGACTTATGAGAGGTGATCGAGAACTTTGTGGTCGGTCAAGCAGTTGACGCCGCCGCCAACCGCCACAACGGAGAGCAGCGCGACCGACGCGTAGATGACGACAACGAACCAGACGCCAATCGAATCGACGTCACCATGCGTATGAAATCGAGATCACCATGCGTCACGTTCTCCAC